CAGAACTGCTAGAGAGAAATGGGCTGCTAGCATGGGAAAAGATCTAGACTCAAAATTTGAAATATAATTTCTAGTAAATGTATATTGCTTTTGCACTATCATAAAGCTGAACAATCTAAGTAGAACCATCCCATCTTGGGGACTGTCTGTATATGATACACAAAAAGCTGAAGCTGAGCACTCCTGGGAGTGAAGAGAGCGTCACCCAGTTAGGACATCTTTCTTCAGAGTCTCTGAAACTGAGGGCAGGCTGGGTAATCTAACCTTGGTCTCTTGGGTAACCTAACCTATGATACAGGCCAGGAAGCAGAGGCAACACCTATTGTGGGGCATCCAGGGAGAACCACAGAGGCACAAGTTTGTCTCAAACTTGGGTTCCTGGACCAGCAGCACGAGTGTCCCCTGGGAGATTGGCAATTCAGATTGGGGCCCCACCCCAGAACTACAAATCCAGACTCATGCCCTTCTGAGTTGGAGACGCACTGAACAGGACAACTGAATGACTAAGATCACCCCTGGGACACAGATGTTGTGGTCAAAGAGAACTACCGTGGTTAAAATGTGCGTCCCAGACCAAAAGAGACAAAGGCGCCCAGATTGTAGGTGGTGGTGTGAAATCAACTCCCCAGGGACAACCTGGTGGCTTCCAAGAGCACTATAACTAGGTATTATTTATTTATTATTTATTTAGTGATGTGTATTAATTGTCTTTATCAATCCTAGATAAGTTAACCTGGTAGAAGTCATTGTAAGAATAGTGGTATTACCAGCACTGCAAATATTAATATTCACAAACATTTACTGAACACTTATTGCTGAGCCCTAAGCCCATGGTTTTATGTGCATTTTTAACTGACCTCTAACAATAACACTGAGTAGGGTACAGTGAGGTGAATACTGTGCCTCAAAACTAGGAGCTGCCAGGAGTAGAACCTAAATTTGAATCCAGAATTCTAACACGAGCTAAGTGAAATTTTACATGACTTTTTGACATATATTAAACTAACAAAGCAATTCTCAAACTTTAGGATATATATGAAATATTTGAGAAGTTGTTAAAATGTAGCATCCTGGGCCTCAGTGCTAAATATTGGTATCAGGGGGTCTAATGTAGGTCCATGATTCTGTCTTGAACAATTATAACCAGGGAATTCTGAAACAAAGTATGTATAGGTGTCTCAAAGAAACTGCCGATAGCAGTGGGCAGAAACTAGGAAGCGTGACTCTCCTTTTCAGCCCTCAGAACAAACTCTGTGGATACCTTCACTATGGACTTCTGGTCTCCATAACTCTAAGACAATACCTTCTTTTTGTTTAAGTTACCTAGATCATGGTACTCAGTTACAGCAGCCCTAGAAAATTAATACAAGTAAAGCTTTACTTACTTTATGCAGAGAGTCTGGACACAAACCCAGGGCATTCAATACTAGTTGAAAATTGATGATTGGATCCATGGAATTGAACAAAATATTTTTTTACTCATTAAGTTTATTGTTATATTTTAGGTATACAATATGATAACATTCATCATTGGGAATTTGTACCTTTACATGATATATCTTGATTCCTATTTTTTCCCCATTCCCCTGCCCTCCCTTCAACCCCTCCACCCCTCCCTATTTACAAAGACTTTGTTTCCGTTTTCTCCTTTTCTCATATTTTTTCCTTTCCCTTCTTTCCTTTCCCCTACCACCCCCCCACTTTGAACAAAATATTTCCTTGTAAGCAATAGAATTTACAAGGGGTGCCTGCCTGGAATTCTTGGACATAGTTGTGAAACTCACCTTAATATGATTCTGTATTTTGGAGACTTGTTATCTTAGAAACCACTGATGAAGAATTCAAAGATAGGAAGCAACTTCATAACTGGATTTATCTAAATGCCTTTTCTATTTGTTCAATGTAATAGATAATTCATAGCATGTTGACGTTATTTTTTTAAAAAATATCACTTCTAATGTTTTAGTATTTTAAAAGCACCAAAAAGCATTTTAAATGTCTAACTACTTCATAGCTTTGAAGGGCTGTTTTCTTCTACTCTTTTAACTCCTGGAGGGCTCTTAATAAGTAGTACTATTCTGTAGCTCTCAAGTACCACACCCTGGATCATAGTTCCCTTGAAGGAGACAGGGCAGCCTCCTAGGAATTTTTGATGCAGATCTCCCATTCATTCTCACAGGGTCATTGGGAGTTATAATTTCTCTTTCAATTAAAAGTTACTTAAATTATCATATCTGACAAATTGGTAAACTTTCTTTTCTTACAAACCCAGTCTTCTTATGAAACTTATAGTTATTCTGATTATCTTGCTTCCTAAGATAGTCAAATATGGAATTGACTAATTCTTAGAGGCCATATCAGGTTCAGCTCAATCTAAAGCTCTGAGTTCTTGATTTATTGAAATGTCCCTGTCTCTTATTATCTGCTACCATTGCCACCATGTGCACAGCCAGCTAGAGGGCTCAGGGCTTCACATTTATACTCTTTCTAGGATGGGACCAACAAATGATAACAACGGGGATAAGTAACAAAAGCCTTGGACCTGGGCCTCTGAGGCCAGTGTTCATTACAAGCAAACCTATGGTGTTCACTGTTTCTTGCTAAATTATGACTATAAAATTACTGCCATCCAGGCCCTACATACCAGGAAGAGGACCATGGGCTCCTGCAGGACTAACAGGAGCAATGGTTTTGCCTTGACTTATGCAAGTCCACAGAAGAAGAAAGACCAGGGAACATGGTAGGAAGACAAGTTTTGATCCTGAAAACAAAGTAAAGTCCAGTCTTGGAAAGATGATATTCTTCCCCATCTCATCCCAACTAGCCACAGAAGGACAAGGTAAAAGTAAGGGGTCAGTGTGGTCAAGGCAATGAAGGAGGTGATCTGTGACTAAGAACAGGAATGTGGTTAGGACCTGGTCCTCCAGGCAGAAAAATTCTGTGAGAAGTTCCTCACAGATTGGCCCTAATTGGTAGTGAGTAAGGGTTCCTCACCTCATCCTCACAATTGGCCCTGTGTTAGTTAGCTTTCTGTGACTACCTGAGATAAAACAACCTGAAAAGAGGAAGGGGTTTTTTTTGGCTAAAACTTTCAGAGATTTCAGTCCCTCATCAGTTGGCCACATTATTTCTGGGCCTGTGGCAAAGCAAAACATCATGTTGAGGACACACACTAAAGCAAGATGCTCACCTTATTGTAGCCAGGAAGTGAAGAGAGAGGAAGTGAAAGAGACTGACATCCCATAATACCTTTTGTGGGTATACCTCCAATAACTTAATATCCTACACTAGGCCCCACCTCTGAAAGATTTCACTACCTCCCAATAGCGCCCAAAGCAAGAAACCAAGTATTTAATATAGGGGCCTTTGGGGGATATTCAAGATCCAAAACCCTTGTTCATTGGTCATTAATAGCTGTTGTTTTCTTCACCCATCTTCTTCCTGCTTTCCCTAACCGATGCTGCCTGCCCCCTCAGACAAGCATGAACAAATGTCCCAAGCAGGCTAACTGCAAATTTTTCTAGGAGTTTTCTGTAAAATTACTCTGAAAGAACGTTCAGTCTGCTGGAAGATTGCGGATCTGGACTCCCAGAGAGTTAGGTTCCCCATTTAGTGGAGAAAGAAAATCTATGGAAGAAGAGAATGAAAACAACACATCAAGGAACATAGAAAGAATCAAAAGTGGGAGAGAGCGAAGATGACGTTGTAACTGTTCATCATTTCATTCTTCCTCTCCTTTTCCACACTTCAGTGACTCGTGCTCTGCTTAGAATTCAAGTCAACTTCTGTATCCAGAAAGCACGGGAGTCTTGCCTAAGGGTATTGCAAGGAACAAGGCCTTTGGGCCAGACCAGCGTAAACAAAGGCTCAAAGGGGAGAGAGTACACATCCTTCAGGCTGGTGTGACTGTTCAAGATTGCTCTGCCTTTTCATTCATTTTACCCTCACCACAATCCAATAATAACTGATGCTGTTTTCAGCCTGTTTAGAGCTGAGTAGCTTCGCAACACCATACAGCTGGTAAAGGACAGAGAGGTGCACCCCTTCTTGGAGTTCGGCATTTTACTTTTATTGTGAATGCCATGCTCTCAATTTCTCTAACTTCTGCCTCCAACCTAGCTCAATAATCACCCTCTCCTTGGGTGGCAGGGTTAAACCCAGCCCACTGTGTCTGCACAGCCACCACATCCCTCACCGGGATCCAGGGCTGAGAGTGCTTCAGCCCTGCTGGAAACCTAGTCCTTCTTGTGGGTGGTAGGATCATTTTGTTGTCTGACAGAATTTACAATTTTAAAAGTTTCTTTGAAATACGTACTCTTCTGAGGTTTCCAGGGTGTATTTGGCTTGAGGTCCAAAACAACTGTTTGGCACACTGAAGAACTGACAAACTGAAGAATGTTCTATCACTTCTCCAGAGAATAAAAAGTACATTCAATAAAGATCACTTCCCTCCTGCTCCATGCCACCTCACAACAGTTGCTTTAGGCAAATTTATGCCCACTCTAAAAAAAAATATTTTCCATGACAATATTCTCTTTGAAAAATCACATCTGGTCCTCTGCCAACTGAAGATTTGATGTAACAAAAGGTCTTAATTCAAAATGATTAAAACAAATAATTGATAATTTAAAATAGAAAGAAAAGGTCCAAAGGGGGAGGAGAAGTGGGAGGGGAAGGGGAAAGGAAAGAAGGGAAAGGAAAAATTGTTGGGAAATGGAAAAAATGGAAACAAAGTCTTTGTAAATAGGAAAGGGTGGAGGGGGTGAAGGGAGCACAGGGAATGGGGAAAAAATAAGAACCAAGATGCATCCTGTACAGGTACAAGCACCCCATGATAAATGTAAATGTATTTATACCTAAAATGTACCAATAAAGGAATTAAGCAAAAAAAAAAAAAAAAGATCTTAATCCAGCTGGAGAGCTAAATTCACTGCAAACAGAAAGAGAAACTGGGACAAGTATGCTATTTGCATTCCTACTGTGAAATAAGAGCTGACCCAGTGTAGATCTGGAAAGAGCTCACAGGAGAGCAGGGGAAATCTTGTTTCCTATAGGAAATCTGGTGTGAGAAAGAAACTACTCTGCCTTTCTGTCTGACAAGACGGAATCCTTCATTTCCTGATGTTCTCATGTTAATACCCAAAGCATGCTTGGCTGGCAAACTACACTGTCTGGGAACAAGGGATGAAAGTTCTGGGGAGGAAAGAGAGACCATGTGAGGTGCTGGCCTCCATCAGCGAATTCACCGTGAGTCATTTTTTTCTCCATTTGTTCCAAACTCCAAACTGCTTGAGTAGGACAGATTAAAATGCGCAGAATCACAAAAATTAAAAAATCAGGTATGATCTCTGAAATACCAGGTGGGTGATACTTGGCAGTCTTTTAGTAAAATTTGAATGCATGGTAAAGATCTTTGAAAGCTTTAAAATGATATTCCTGATAAAAAGCTATGAAACAAGGACCCGAGTTTGATCCCCGGTACAAAAAAAAAAAAAAAAGCTATGCAACAGAGTCAGAAAGAGGAAGAAAATAATATTTGAAAGTGTGAACGAGCCAAGCTATGTGGAAATGTTTTTACATATGGCAGTTAAGTAGATTGTCGACTTGATTGGCCTGGGACCCACTCAGAGGATTATTAAACATACTGCTAAATATGTCTGCTTGGGTCGACAAGGAAAGCATGACCTTGGGAACTGTATCTGGTTCTTCCTGTTATGGTTTTTTGACATCATGAACTGAGCAGCTTTCTCTGCCAAGCCTTTCCATCATGATATTCCTGACATTGAGGCAGCCAATCATGGACTAAATCCCCTGAAACTATGAAGCTAATTAAACTTCTCCTTTAACTTCTGGGTATTATTATGTGCTAGCAATAGGAACCCTGGCTAGTATACTATACTTTCAAGATAGTAAAATTTTATAAGTAATTTAATAGATAATGGTCTTCATCCTAGTTCCTTATTAGGATATAAATAGAATTTGCTATCATTTATTTAAATGAAAAAAAAGATTTTTTTTGCTTAAGTTCTTTTATTGGCACATTTTAGGTATACAATATGTTTACATTTATCATTGGGGGCTTGTACCTGCACATGATGTATCCTAGTTCTTATTTTTTCCCCATTACCTGTTCTCCCTTCACCCCCTCCACCCTTCCCTATTTTCAAAGACTTTGATTCCATTTTTCACTTTTCTCATAATTTTTCCTTACCCTTCTTTTCTTTCCCCATCCCCTCCCAATTTCCCTACCCCTTTAGGTCTTTTCTTCCTATTTCCCATTATCAATTATTTGTTTTAATAATTTTAATTCTTATTTACACTTTCAGTTTCTCACTACAGAGAAACTATTTGGTATTTACACGTGTGTCCTATTTATTTCACTTATGAGTATGGCCTCAATATGCATCCATTTTGTGGATAAATGATCTCTAAATGTTTTAGTTTCTTGTTCTTTATGGCTGAGTAGTACTCCATTGTATTAAAAAAAAAAAAAAACGCATCTTCTTTATCCAGTTTCCAGTTGATGGACACTTGGGTTGTTTCCAAGCTTTTGCTGTTACAAATTGTGATACTATAAACATGGGTGCACATATATTGCTGTGGCATGATTAGTTTAATTCTTTGGGGAAGATAATCAGCAGGGTAATAGCTGGGTCAAATGGGACCTCTAGTCCTA